TTTTTTTATTGAAATTTGTTTTCTTTTTAGCCCCTCTGTATTTTTAGTTTAGTGCTTTAGGTTTTTTCTTTTTCTTTGTTTTTTTTCTTTCCATCTCTCTTCCCCTCCAGCAGAGCACACGAGCTCTGTCGGTTGAGTTGATATTACGGCTGAATGGATTCTGTATAGAAAAATGGTGAATAAAATAAATTAAGAACTGTGTAGTGAAACATGAATCCTGAAGCGCTTGATCTAAAAACACTTTGTCTCCTTTTAACCCCTCTTCCCCGCCCCCTTTGCTCCTCTCCCCCCTCATTCAGGATTCTGCTGTAAATAAACATGACTCTAACTGTAACAAGAGTGCATCTCTTTCTTTGGGTCCATCTCCTGTGTTGGTTTGTCATACATGATCGGTAGTGCCATTGAAGAAGGGGGAGAAAAAAAGGTTGTGCTTCGACTTAGGTAGCACTTGATTAGGCACACGTTAAATACAGGGTTGGTCCTTTTTGACATGAAAGCATTGCACAGTTTTTGCACATCCATGAGGCAAATCTCATTTCATCCAAAATGTGCTTCATTGGAGGTCATTCAGTACAGTGAACTCATTGCCAAGTTATGAAACACTGAGGTGATCTGAACATTGTGAATGGGTGTGTTATCCTCCTGGAAGCAACCATCAGAAGATCAGTGCACTGATCCTAGTGGGATAAACACGGTCACCACCAATACCTCAGGTAAGCGGTGGTGGTTAAATGATGCTCGGCTGGTACTAAGGCACTCAGAGGGTTGCAAGAAAATCTCCCACACTATTACACCACCACCAGTTTGAACTGTTGATGCAAGGCAGGATGTATTCATATCCCAAATTCTGATCCTACAGTCAGAAAGTTGCAGAAGAAATTGAGACTCATCAAACCAGGTGAAGGTTTTCCAATACTGTCCTGTTCTTCATGCGAGCCTTAATTGTAGCTTCGGTTTCCTGCTCTCAGCTAACTGGAGTGCTACCCAGCGTGGTCTTCTATGGCTGTAGTCCATCACCTTCAAGGTTCGACGTGTTGTCCATTCAGAGAGGCTCTTCTGCATACTTCAATTGTACTGAACAGTTATTTGAGTTGCTGTTTCCTTCCTATCAGCCTGAAGCAGTCTTGCTATTCTCCTCTGACCTCTGATAATAAAGCATTTTGTCTCAGAAAGCTGCAGCTCACTGGATATTTTCTCCTTTTCAGACCATTCTCTGTAAACTCCAGAGATAGTTGTGCGGGAAAACCTCAGTAGATCAACAGTTTTCTAAAATACTCACACTTGCCTCATAGAAAGTTCAAAAGTTACTTAAATCACCCTTCTTCTCCATTTCTGATGCGACAATTTGAACTCCAGCAAGTGATCTTGGCAATGAGTAAATCCACTGAATTGCTGCCATTTTATTAACTGATTGGGACAGTTATACAGGTGTGCCGAATAAAATAGCAGGTGAGCGTAATAAACGTTTTCCTATGCAACAATTTTACATGACATGCTGACTAAATAATGGGTGTCACACTTTTCATCAGCTCTGTGGTGTAAATCATCAACTCACACCAGAGATGGATGATGAAGGCATCAGCAGTACAACCAAGTAAAGGTAACAGATATCGAGCAAAGAAAAGACTGTTTTTGAAGTCACCCCCCGCTGAATTCCAATATACGGCGTTTAAAAGAAACCACTGGAGGAAACGTCTGTGTCAGCATCCTGTAATATCCACAAGGTCCACTGGCAGAACAGAAGCCAGCTAGAGTTTTGGTCAAAGTAATATACCACATATAATCTGTGCCGGAGTCTTCACCCAAGCCTCTGCTCGCGTTTATGCGCACCCTATGGGCGCAGTGATGTGGTTTGTAAATTGGTAGAAAGAAAATAGTTCCCGTGTGAAACTGCTCACAGTAAGAATAGTGGATTATGATTTCTATTTTATGATGTACACTTTGGAGAAATACTTTAGCTAACAAACCTAAAAAAAAAAAAAAAAAAACTTACAGGTTTTCCCATTTACGTTAGATAAAAATAAAGAAAAATATGTTGTCAGCCTAGAAACAGAAATTTCAAGCCATTTTTAAGGTAGAATGCATGCACTGGTGATAGATTCTGGCGGTTTTCATATGCAGCTACAGAATCGACCCCATATCTTCCTATCGAAAATGAAATTTTCCATTAACTATCAGTTGCATAATTCTCTGCAACATGAACATCGCCCAGCAGATGGCAGCAGAGCACAAATATCTGAAAACCCTATGACACCAGTCAGTTATGAAAGGTTTTTACTCCTAAACTCAGCGTGTGTATTTTCACTTATTGGCCGATGTTATAAGCTTGTTTTCCATTGTATATGAGCAGCTTTCACCCAATGTATCAACACGCAGATGAGCCGCAGCGTTTACAGTTCACATTTTCACAGCCAGGCTACATTGGGAGAAGCAGAAAGCTGCAGAATCAAACAATCAAAGAGAGAAATCATCCCTTGATTAAGCAGTTAACAGAAATGAAAGGTGTGCTCTCATCAAAGTACAGTAATTGGTTCCTGCAGGGCTCCGTAGGGAGATCTTAATGGGGGGAAATGGCTGCCTCAATGACAGACCAAAGACGCTGAGTCAAGAGTTTACAATAATGTTGAGATCTTCACTCCGTGCTTGTGTCTGTAGTGGATGTGAGGCATTTTGTCTGATCTGCTGTGGCAGATCAGCGCTAAAATATTTGAGTACGAGCAGGGTCAGGATTGAGCTCCAACGTTTATGGAGAGGAAGCCAATTTACTCTAGCAGGGACCAGTTTAATGAAAAGATGCTGGTGTAACATTTGGCTGAGGTTTCGTGCTAAAAGAAACGGCTCCATATTGAGTGC